CACAAGGTATCTGCTCTCCACTGAGCTCCAGGAGGAAGTTCTTAGGCCCCCTGCAGGACACCTTCTAGGGGAGGCTATGGGCATATACTGCAGTGATCTCCCTGGAGACCATAAGTGTAACCCACAGGCCTCCTGAGGCCTTCTGCCCAGCTCTATAATCTGACTACTTGCCCACCCCAGAGGCTTACTTGCTTTCAGGGAGAGAACTACAGGAAAGTTAGTGGGGGCAAGTAATTGGGAGATTATCTTCTTAGCAATTGTATTTTCTTTAGCAAACTATCTACCCCACCCCCATTTCTTAGCTAGGCTAGAATCATATTTTCTACTATGGGGTGAGCAATAATACTAATTAATACAGGTGATGAACTCCCCTCAACTGAGAATGGATTTTATCTTTAGCAATGGAAGTCGAATCGTTTTTTTTTTATGAAAAACATCTAATATATATATATATATATATGTATTTTTTCTCTGCAAAATGAAATCAGTAGTATGTATCAGTGATTTTCAACCAGTGTGCTGCAAGAATTTTTAAACATGCAATAACCAGCTAGTCAGGGACACTAACCTCTTTTCCCATATATTGTCAAATTAAAAAATGACAACAGCCACCACAATAGACATCTGGTGTGAATAAATCAAAATTATACCTTTTGGGGGGTGCCATGGGATTTTAGTACTGTAATTAGTTTGTGTGCCATGAGATGAAAAAGGTTGAAAAATCATTGATATAGATCAGTGACTGTCCCATATGGTACCTGTTAGCCACATGTGGCTTGTAAGCACTTGAAATGTGGCCAGTGCAAATTGATCGGGACTGTAAGTGTAAATATACACAGGATTTTAAGATTTAGTATGAAAAAATTGTGAAATGTATCAATTTTCATATAGATGGTATGTTTAATCTTTTTGGTTATATGAAATTACTGAAATTTAAAAGTATGTAGAGAGCAATGGTTGCTTGTTCTGTTGGACAATAATTTATCCCTTATGGTAACTTAAATACAAGCATTATAGATATAATTTACCTCACAGCACATATACTATTTTTGCTCTTAAGTTAACACAGCTTTTGAGAAATAAAGACTGAGGGAAAACAGTATATTACTTCATACTTAGGTATACTAAGTACTCTAAAGGGCCTAATAGTTAAAAGATAATAAAAAGCAGCTTTCCTATTGTTTACAGATGACATACACCCTTTGATGGATAAAAATGTAGTAGTAGCAATAAACACTTGAAATGTTAATAATGCATTTAATGATTTATCTACTCCCTCTGTCTTAGGTAGCTTTGTGTTTTAAATGTGGCATGTTTTGCAAATTAGGTAAGAGTTTTCACCCTTAAGGTGCATGAGCTCTTTGAAATTTTAGGCACAATTTCATTTCGTGTCTGCATTTTTTTTTTAAGAAGTTGGTTCAGACCTGCATCTCAAGTTAGTTCCTGACAGCAAGAAATACTTAAAAGCCACTAAGCTGGGGCTTTACATTGCTGGCTTGGAAAAGACTTGAGGTTTCCAATATAATTTCTAGTAGAGCAAGAAACCATGACAGATAGGGGTCTGGGTTCTGCTCACATACTATTCTCTTGAGAGGCAATTGTTTCTTCCTCAGAACTATCTGCCTCAAGTGAAAAACAGACATGAGCAGCAGAAATGATATCTAAAATTCTCTTGTGGGTTTCATAAGAAAATACAAAGATTAAAAGGGTTTATCACAAAATAAAAGACTTACGCAGAGCAACCAAAATCAAAACATCCTGGCAAAGGGTTGCATTTTAAAATTATAAAGAATTTGAGCAAACATCCAGGGGGAATAAGTAGGATAATATATTGTACAAAAAAAAAGAGTAATATGGTCTTCTAGCTTCTACTTTGAAACTTTAGCTACCTATGCATGGCTTCTGGTCTGCCAGAATGGAACCCCAATGTAAGTTAATCCCCATTTCCTAGTTTTTAGTCATTTCAGAATTTGTCATCAGACATGTATTTCTTTATTGTCTGTTTCTCACTTTACACAGGATGGCTAGGTTTTGAATCCTATCAACTAGTTTCAACAATTAACAATTATGGACAGTTTTTTCCTGTATCTTCCATCTACTTCACTCAGATAGTTTTGAAGCAAATCCCAGTCATCACACTATTTCATTCACAAATACTTCAAAGTGCATTTCTAAAATATAAAATACAAAACTAACTCTAAAAACTATTTTTATTGTTCACTGTTCTTCGGACCTGCATCTTGTATAAGTGCACAGTATATCTATCTGGGTTAATGAATGACTCTCAGCTTGGTTAATTTTATCTACTGCACATTTCTCAAGTCCTTTCACATGCTTCAGTTTTCACCACAATGTTTCTGTTTCAGGGTACCATTAATTCCTCCAAAACTTCTCTAATTTCTTCCCATGCATCTGTTCTTACCATTCAATTTTCAGACAGCAGCTAGACTGTTTTGTTAAAAGCAGAAAGTAGAATACATTTTGTAATGCAGAATATAATTAGAAACAATTACATGACTTCCCATTGGCCTTTGAATTAAGTCCAAAATACCCAACCAGACCTATGGAGGAAGGATCTCCCTCTGTTTTCTTCCTTTATTAAGCTTAGCCCTATTGCAGGTGTTTTTCTGGTGCCTTCTGTCTCGGCACACCAGGCTCCCCTGTGTATTCTGTATTTGTTCCTTCACTGGCAGGAACCACTATCATGATTAATCAATTATTAACACACACCTTACCGGTTTCACCAACCTGTTAACCAACTGCAACAAACACATTCAAATAAAATAAGTGAGAAAATGCATGCCAGTCATACGAATTACCAAGCATATACTTAGAAGAGGATTTTAAGAAGCAAAATAAATGCTTATGAAGCAGTCAAGGTACCCATTTATGCCATGTAGAGATGTGCTTTCCAAAAATAGGCCAATTTTGTTTTACTTCTCTTGAATGTGAGTTTGTTGTGTCTGTTTCTCACTTTACATGGGATAACTAGATTTTGAATCCTATCACCCAGCTTCAACAATTAACTAATGATGGACAGTTTTTCTGTACATCTCCATCTACTTCACTCAGATAATTTTGAGGCCAATCTCAGCTATCACACCATTTCATCTACAAATATTTCAAAGTGCATTTCTAAATATTCCTTTGGTTTTTAAACATAACTACAACCTAAAGTAAATATTTTGTAACACATTTGTAGTCAAACGTCTTAAATTGTCTTAGTGTTTACTCGTTTGTTTGGCTCAAGAGACATGTATTTTATGTATTGTGAATCCTTGCTAAGTCTCTTAAATGTCTTGTATCAATGTCCTCTTGTTTTTTTTCCTTTGGAGCTAGTATGTTGAAGAAGAGTTGATTCATTTGGTTTTTTTTTTTTATATAGTTGCCTATAGTCTGGCTTTACAGACTGCATCACCATATTCTCCCCTATTACCTTCCTCTTTCCCTATAAATCCTACAATTTGGTAATTATCTTTAGATTTTTAAGACTTTAATCAGATGTATTTCTGAGTAATCACCCTTTTTTAGTTTTTAAATACTAACTTTTTATAGTTAACATGACTCTTAAAGTCACAGCAACTAGTTACAATTAAAATTCTATGATTCCTGATACAAAATAATTCAGTCAACTGCTCACATAACTGCAGTTGCCTTGTAATTGTTTTCCATTGTATTCATTTGAATTAGGATTAAAAGGTTCATAAAATGTAATTCCTTGGTAGGCATGAAGTTGAAGAATTGCGTTTTAATCTTTTAAAAACTATTCAAACTATTTAATGAGGTTAAATCTACAAAACAAGGTACCTGTATATGCACTAGTTCCCGTTCTAAATTTTTCCTGCCTTCAGAGATTTTTTTTTTCTTTCAACGGTTTCTCCTTCCACATAACCTTGTCTACCCTCCCCTCCGCTGGTACTCTGGACTTTTCCCCACACTGGCACCTTTCCTCAGAACTGAGAACAGTCTTCCTCGTTGCCTTTCTTCCCTCCTCCTCCCACTTCCTGCCTCGGCCAACCCGCGCGGGCCGCTGGGCCGCACCTGCTGGACGCGTTTCCATTGGTGACATCTTGGCGGGTCGGTCGGTGGCACTTCCTCCTTTACACCCCGTGACCTACGTCCGGCTCGCCGCCCTCCCAGTCACGCGGCCTCAGCCTTCGGGACACAACCCCGCGCGCAGGCCTTCCGGACTTCAAGACCCCAGACCAGTCGTGGTGAGCCGCTGCTTGCGGACGACCCCCCACCCCCCTTGCGTTTCCACTCCCCATCCATGTGGTTGGGGCAGTTCTTCCCCACTTCCTCGCCCCTTTTTTTTCTTCCCCATCGCTGTCCCTGGAACTTTCTCCCCACCCCAGGAAGTACCCCAAGTCGAGCCTGCCCCGGGGCCTGCCAGCTCTCTGTGGGTCCCGGGAACTCTTCTAGGGCTTCCTAGGAGGCCCGCTTGGATCAGGAACTCTGCCTCCTCCCCGTCCCCTCCACCCGCCCTTCTTAGGCTAGGCCAAAGAAGCCTAGCGAGAGAAGTCTTAATCTTTTTAACCAACCCTCGGCAGGCCCGAGAATTTCTTCCTGGTGTACCCGCGAGACCTCCGACGCGGAGAAGCCCCTCCCACCGCCGGCCCTGGCGGCCTAGGCCTGTACCCTCCTGTACCCTGTTCCTCCACCACCCCACCCCCACACGTCCCGGGGAGCGGTTCTCCGCCAGCTCTTCCCCAACCGTAGCTCGCTCCGCCCCGGAAGCGGCCGCAGCGCCCGCCCAGGCTCTGGATGGGGGGCTTTGGGGTCCGGCTTTACGCCCTGGTAGGCCGACGGAGGCTGTCGGAGCACCAGGTGGAGGCGGAGGGAATTCCTCTCCTTGTTCCGGGGTCGCGTTGCTCCGGGAGATACACGTCCGGAATTGCTTCTACGCTTCCCGCCGAAATCGCTGTGACGCGGCCTTGGCGGCTGGCTGCGCTTGGGCCTCGGACTAAGTTGTACCCGTAACCAGACAGTTTCGATTTCAGGTTAATAACAGAAGGAGATGCACCTGGAGATTCCCCAGAGCTCTCTGCGTTTTTAAGCGTCGGGTGGATTTGGGGTCCTTTGGCTGTAAACCACGATCGCTTGATGTAAATAGAAATCGGCCCTGCTTCCTTCAGCGGTAAGTCTTAAAGCGGAAACGTCAACCATGTGTCCCTGAGGCGGCATCTTCCGCGGGCTGAAATTTAGAAGTAGAACTTTTATGAGTAATTGCGACATCCAGGACAACCTGGCTGTTCGCGCGCTGCCAGCTGTAGCTTAAAACTCATTTGAAACGAAGGTGAAAATGCTCCTCGGGTCTCATTGGCACAAGACTGAAGGAGGGGAAAGCCGGGCTTCCACCTGAGTTCCTGTCCCGGAACCTTCGAGAAGATGGGAGGTGGGGTTTAAGCCGCCCTGTTTACCACATAGATAAACCTAATCTGCCTTAGTCCGCTAGGGCACACCCAGTTTATCTTGATTGGATCTGCTTGAATCCGAATTAGATCCTGTCTAACCAGTAATGAGGAACACATTCAGGAGAGTCCAGATAATATTGTTTTAAATTGTAGCAATTTACGTTTATGTGGGGGTTTTTCCAAGTAGTATCTCATGGCAATCACAAAAGGCTAGTAAGACAAGGCAAATATTACCTGTAACACACAGGCTTAACGGAATTGACTTTACCAGTGTCCAAAACTAACGATGTAGACATGTTCAGCCCTATCACATGGAAATGAGCAATGGTAGTAATGATGATTTTCCTGTTGAAAAGCTTATTTCAATATTTCCTCTCTTTACTATTTCTCAGTAAATTAAAAGATGAATGTCAGGTCTCAAGAAGTGAAATTACCGAATAAAATTGGGAAAGAAATTCTTGAGTGTCTCCACCCTGCCACCCAGGGATGTTTATAAATTACAAACCCTATTGAACGATTTCTAGCAAACTTCTTCTGGAGTCTATCCCAGTGACGATTGGCTGCCCTGGCCCTACCCTTCCCGGGACTGCTTTTGTACCTCCCTCACCCTCAATGTTTAAATTTTGTTACTGCCATTCTAGTTTTGTGTATAGAAACTCTGGAATTTGAGTTGTCTACTCTGGGCAAGTGGGAATGCCCCTGGTGGTGTTATCCCATGAAAACGTAGATATCTTAAATGCTTGGGGGTGGGCCCGGTGTGTATTTCAATTAGGATAGCCCCCAGCCCTGCTTTGTTTTGGGAAGAAGACAGCTCTGAACCCAGGCCAGCCCTGTGGCCTGCTCTGGTTGCTCTGGTAAGTGCTTGGGCACTGAGGCAAGACGGCGATATCTCTTTTTTAGGACAATTTGTACCTACCAGGAGTGTCTCCGACTGTTGGATCTCTCCCTTGTTCTTTAAGGTGAGCTATTTTAAGAAAAGTAATTTCTCAATTTACAAATACAAATAGAGGAATGTGAAGTAAAGGATGTATTTGTCACTATCTTTAAATCTAACATTTAGCAGAGCTAAGCTCTTTAGAGTTTAAATGTCTTATGTACTGTTAAGTCTCTACAAATAATCAAAATATAGAGGATTCTGAAGGTAAAAGGTGAGAGTTTTACTTTTTTGTGGTGTTAAATTGCATAATTATAATGAAATGTCCTGTTCTTCTATGCTTCCTGCATGTCTTTCTCAGACTAAATAAACTGCCATATTCTAGAGGGAGATACTGACCCACCCTCACCCGGGCCATCCGTTAAATTAATCCATTGCTCATCTCCAGCCTGTTGTGCCAGGGCGTTGGGCAACAGTGATAGAACAGACACATCCTGTCCCTGGGACTCCCGATGTACTTTTGAAGACACATTTTAAACAGATCACAGGAAACATGCTCTGGGGGCATAGAATCATAAGATTTAGTTTGTAGCAGGGGAAGATGTTTTGAAACAGTGGGATATTTGAGCTAAGGCTTTAGGATTAGTATGATTTCGCTAGAGAAGAAGGTTGGGTAGAATATGTTTGAAGAGAATTACCATGTGTGTTGATTATCAAGGGAGCAGAGAGCCTGGCACATTCTAGGCACAGGAACAAACAGGAAGTTTTAAAATGGTGGGGATGATAGGAGCTGAATAGTGTTTAAGGCCAAAGTTGTAAGATCTTAGAACCCCTTAGTCCTGTGGTTTGTTTGCCAATGAAAACTTGGAATGGGAGAGTACATAAAGTAACCTTAACAGGACACTAGCTGCAGATTGGGTTGCAATAAGGGCCAGCTGTTAATGCTTAAAGAGCTTTAAGAACCAGTTCCAAGTATCCTGGAATGGGCTATTAGTATGGGAACTAGAAATAATGAGGGCAATGCAAAAAGAAAATGACAGTTGTCATTCATATGAAGGAATTACCGAGCTTATAAAAGAATTAACTCTTTCTTGTATTCACATCTATAAATCTACTTTTCCCACGCCTGTAGAACTGTAAAAAGACTTTATTACAAGAGTCACTAACTAGGGCTTATGGGTGTGGTTAGGGTGGACAATGGGATCACCTGAGAGAAATAATTCATTGGAATTTGAGACCTTGAGAGGCCTCATTTATTACACCGAATATTTAAATTCTGAAAATAATGATGGGTCAAAACATAATTTGGCAATAATTTGTTTTTTTCTGCTACTAGTGCAGTTGAGTGTTTCATATATTTGTTACAAATTTGCTCTGTTTGGTGGGGGCAGCACTTAAATTACCTAACATGCTTTCTGGTTTATCCTTTTCTACTAATAGGCCCACATTTCTTTGAAATGCATCTCTTAGGACTAATTTTAATGTCTATTATTATACTTAATGTGAAATGACACTTCCATTAAACATTTAATTTCCATATATCTACATGTATACATTTTGAGCATTGACCACTAAAAATATACTTTTGGCTCTTAATATATTTGGGCCCTGGCCAGGTAGGTAGCTCAGTTGGTTAGAGCTTCATCCTGATGTGCAAAGGTTGTGGGTTCGATGCCTGGTCAGGGCACATACAAAATCAGCCTGGCCAGGTGAATGCATAAATAAGTGGAACAACAAACAAATTCATGTCTCTTTCCCACACCCTCTCTCCACCTCTGTAAAAAAAATATATATATATATATATATATATATATTTGTCTCTTAACGCATATATTGCTATCTGATGGTTCGATTCCTACTCTTCAGAAAATTTCCCTTCCAGTTGTATTTGACCTTTCTCTATTTTATCTTGAACTCTGTGCTAGATGCCACATGCATTTTATGACATCCTATGAGAGGGGTACCTCTCACTGTCTAAGGAGTTCATTTTCTTTAAATCCTTCAACCAAAATGTAGCAGTAAATGTGTGTACTTTTATTTATATGTGAACCTGAGAAGCTTATTTGATTTCCTCATTTGTAGTGCACATAACTAATATTCTGTTGATGGACTTTTCTGGATATGACTTCAGTTTGGTCTCACTTTGTTTGATTTGACACATCATGTGTTTTTACTTCTGTAGTGCTGAAGAATCTCACAGGACCTCTTATAAACGAGCTACCAAATTTCAGCATGAAAAGTACCTGGAATAAATATATAACAAGAAAATGCCCTTGCTCAACCTGACTAATACTTAGATTACTCTCTGTTCAATGTACCAAGTTACACTATTCTCCTGCCTTTTACTTTAGCAATGCAATATAATACATCTCATCTCTTTTCTTCTAGTTCTGCTTCCCCTTGCTGTTTCTGAATATTGCCTCAATTGATTATCTTGTCTTCTCTTCTAGAACTTACAATAATTGACTATTAGAATTTGTAGATTTTTTACATTATTAAAGCTTCTAGATCACTGTATTTCTCTTCAGATTTTATTCTACATTCGACATAACTTTCTCAGTCGTCGTAGTATGCATTTTTTGGAAGACATGGAAATGACTGTTAGCTCAAATGTATTTGTGTATTTTCAACCTCAGCTTACTCCCTCATATGTGAAAGGGAGAAAACTGTATTTACTGAATGTTCTTGTTATAAATATGAAAGGAAAAATTATGTAGTTTTTGCTTTCTTTTCAGCCACAAAAAGCACCAGCTGAGCTTGTTTGAAGTCTGCCCTGTCAAGTGTCCATGATGCTGGGCCCTGAGGGAGGTGAAGGCTTTGTGGTCAAGCTCCGTGGCCTGCCCTGGTCCTGCTCTGTTGAGGATGTGCAGAATTTCCTCTCCGGCTGCATAATTCATGATGGGGTCGCAGGCATTCATTTCATCTACACTAGAGAAGGCAGGCAGAGTGGTGAGGCTTTTGTTGAACTTGAATCAGAAGATGATGTGAAAATGGCCCTTAAAAAAGACAGGGAAAGTATGGGACACCGGTACATTGAGGTGTTCAAGTCCCACAGAACTGAAATGGATTGGGTGTTGAAGCACAGTGGTCCAAACAGTGCTGACACCGCCAATGATGGCTTCGTGCGGCTTCGAGGACTCCCGTTTGGATGCACCAAGGAGGAAATTGTTCAGTTCTTCTCAGGGTTGGAAATCGTGCCAAATGGGATCACACTGCCTGTGGACCCCGAGGGCAAGATTACAGGGGAAGCCTTTGTGCAGTTTGCTTCACAGGAGTTAGCTGAGAAGGCTCTAGGGAAGCACAAGGAAAGAATTGGGCATAGATACATTGAAGTGTTCAAGAGTAGTCAGGAAGAAGTTAGGTCATACTCAGATCCCCCTTTGAAGTTTATGTCTGTACAGCGGCCAGGGCCCTATGACCGCCCAGGCACAGCCAGGAGGTATATTGGCATAGTTAAGCAGGCAGGCTTGGAAAGGATGAGGTCTGGTGCCTATAGTGCAGGCTATGGGGGCTATGAGGAATATAGTGGCCTCAGCGATGGCTACGGCTTTACCGCTGACCTATTTGGAAGAGACCTTAGTTACTGTCTCTCTGGAATGTATGATCACAGATATGGAGATGGAGAATTTACTGTCCAGAGTACCACTGGACATTGTGTCCACATGAGGGGGCTGCCATACAAAGCCACAGAAAATGACATTTACAATTTCTTCTCCCCTCTCAACCCTGTAAGAGTCCATATTGAGATTGGCCCTGATGGAAGAGTGACGGGTGAAGCTGATGTTGAGTTTGCCACTCATGAAGAAGCTGTGGCAGCTATGTCCAAAGACAGGGCCAACATGCAACATAGATACATAGAACTTTTCTTGAATTCCACAACAGGAGCTAGCAATGGGGCATACAGCAGCCAGATGATGCAAGGAATGGGGGTGTCTGCCCAGTCTACTTACAGTGGCCTTGAGAGCCAGTCTGTGAGTGGCTGTTATGGGGCTAGCTACAGTGGCCAGAATAGCATGGCTGGATATGACTAATTTTGTAGTGCATTTGAGTTATTTTAAATTTTCATAGGCAGTCAAGCAGTGAAAAGCAGTTATTACTCTAGAAAAAGCTATGGGATCCATTTTGCACCATGAGTTTGTGAAATCTGGATTAAAAAATTACCTCTTCAGTGTTTCCTCATTCAAACTTCTGGTATGTGATATTGAGTAAAATTATTTTCAGCTTTTTTCAGTATTTTGGTAGTGTACTTCAGGTTGATGTTATCTGAGTTCAGTAGTTTTAAGTACATCAAATGTGGATCTTTACACATCACAGTGAACACATTGAAGAGATGTGATTTTTGGGAAACTCAAGGTGCTAGATCCCTAATTCAAAGAGGAGCATTTCTCATGTTTGTTCATTCTAGTTTGTTTTTCATTTAAAATCTTTTAGGTTAAGTTTAAGCTTTTTAAAAGTTAGTTTTGAAAATTGAGACACATTACTAATACTGTAGGAATTGGTGAGGCCTTGACTTAAAACTTACTTTATTGTGATTTCCTTTTGGGTGTATTTTGCTAAGTGGAATTTGTTAAGTTTTTGTTAACTAAACTTTTTTCTTAAATAAAGACTTTTTCACAACGACTGGTATAGACTGTCTGCTCACCAAAAAGTATCAAAACAACTGGGTAATTGAAGAGAATTCATTTGAATGTTGTATTTTAGTGTGAATTTTAAAATAATTTAACATCAAATTTTCCTTATATTTCTACAAGGATGCTAAATCTAAAAGGCAGCTTTTAAAAGTATTAAGTGTATATGGGTTGTAGAAATGATGACTAGAAACATCCCAAAAAGTAGGAAAACAGAAGCACATAGCCCCAGCCTCCTGTGAATTTTGTGCTCTTTTCAGCCCTCTGGTCATCCATTTTTCATAGCTGGAGCATCTTAGTTTTGAATGCCGCATATGTTACAAGTCGTGTTTTAGGGGGGGTTTTGTTTGTTTTTTATGTAAAATGTGCTGTTAAAACATTGCTTTTTTTAAATCTCTAATGGTTATTTCTATAGGGTACACTCCTGGGTTAGCAATTACAGGCTATTACAAGAAATATATAATATCAAGCTTTTAGACCTATCTCCAGAATTGTTTAAAAATTGTCATCTGCCCAGCAGTGTAAAGTAGCATCCAAATTCCAGGCAGCTCTGCACATGGCATATTACCATCACTCTTTATGAAATGCACTAAATAAAACCAAGATGCTAAAATGTGAATGGAGTTCATTTTTAAAACAGCACAGACTTTGCTTGATAGCTGCTATTGGTAATTTTCCCAAGTTTTTTATCTTATTTGTCTTTAATAGGCCACATTTCCTAGTTTCACCAATTTAAGGATCATCTGGTATCTTTATTTCAAAGGACTGTCCTCATTTACAGGAAAAATATTCTTTGATTAAGCCCCCAGGAGTTTATTAAATAAGTACATAGGTAGACTGGAGTCTTTTCTTTGCTCCAGTCTTTCCTGATGTAGTTGAGTTTACAGGCCTACCTTACCTGCTGTCCTTGTCATTAGTATTCTGCAGACTCAGGGCAGCAGCCTCACCCAGGAATACTGAAGTACCAGAACATGGGTGGGACTATGAAGATTCAAAGAGTGGGTAGTGTGAGAAATCTGGAGCTTTTCTAGACCATTTACACAGGGTCTGCCTGTAAATGGGCCCGCCATGGCTCCAAGTTTCAGGCAGCAGTCTACCACAGAAAGCAGAGGTCTGGGTTGTGAGGAAGACTCAAACCCCAGCAAAGCACCTAGGAGCTCTCTAAATGTTTAGTGACAATCTACGATTCTGTGGAAGACAAGGACATTCACAAACCCTGTAAAACTGCTAAGTTTTGAGTCCAAGTCTGGACTCCAATAACCTCAGATGGGGATGTGCTAGAAGACCCTCAATCCCAAGGTGATCCTGAGATCTTCCAGCAGCAATGACCCCTCTTATTAGGAGGTTTTGGAGGCCTCACCTAAAGTAGGTGACCTGTAAACTGATTTCTGTCCCCTGAATCTAGGAACTCAGATCAGCTTGCCACCTGTCCTATGGCCCACGAGCTGAGTTAATTTGTTAGCAGGGAACCCCAATTAAGAAAAGTAGAATCTCACCCAACCAGAAAAAAACTAGTACAAAATGTTATTTCAAGTTCTGTCCAAAAAAAAAAGAAATTTTCAAATTTGCCTTGGCCTGCCTGCACAATTGAAATATTTAGCCCTATTAGAAGAAAACTGCTGACCTGTGTTCTAGAATATGTTATCAGGACTGACCATGGTATAGGAGGGAGAGCTGCCACTCCACAAGGAAGTGGCTGTGTTACCAGAAAAACTGGTATGTATGGATAGGACTCGGCATCCGGGGAGTAGCTTGATGCTATATAGACCAGGGGTATCAAACTAATTTTCACCTAGAGCCACATTGGAGTTGTGCCTTCAAAGGGCCGAAAGTAATTTTAAGACTGTAAATGCAACTACTTAACTAGAGGCAAGGAGCTCGGTGCTGCTGCCAGGTAGATACTTGGAGGGCCAGGTTTGGCCTGTGGGCCTTGTGTTTGCCTGTGCTCTAGACCAAGGGGTTGAGTATAAAATGGTTATAGGATATCTTATGACTCAGGATTGACTAAAATGATCTACTGGAGTTGACCTTCAAGCTGAAAGACAATGCCTCTGGGAGAGATGCTGGGTTTTGAAAAGATGTCAAGGGACCTATGTGGGCATGCTAGGAAAGATTTGGTATAAAGGGCCAGAAAAAAAAAGTTACCTGGGAGGGTTCAAGGACACCTAATCACTAAATTGGCAAGGAATGTGCTAGTGAGGTGCACTAGCATTTCGAGAACCTTACCTGGGAGCTTTCCCCAGCCAGGATTGGCAGTAGGGGAAAATAGGGATAAAAGGATTTTAGATTATAGAAGAGTAAGACCAGGTAGGGGCAATCATCAGGTGTGAGGCTAGCATAAGTGCCTTAATGGGCAGTGAAGCCCAAAAGGCAGTAAGGACTTTGACCTTGCAAAATATGGCAAAGTCTAATACACCTCTGTGGATCCAGGAACCACGTTCAGGCACAGCTATGAGATCTCTCAACCTGTTTTTACTGTTTCTATGACCAAAAAACTCATGGGAAATCAGGGTCTCATTCCTATTTATTTCCAGAACAGAGATCTCAGATTGGAGAACAATTGTGGAGGAAGAGCCTGGCAGCATTTTAACAATTATGTGGGGGAGAAAGTGACCCAAATCTTTTGGGTGCTATTACAAATGGAGTCTGAATTGATGATAGCAGGGGATCCATAATGCCAATATAGTCCCTCTAATACATTGGGAGCATATAGGGAGGCCTCCTGACAAATGGATTCCTGGGCCATGCTCATCTCAGTGTGGGTAGAACAGGTTTGCAAGCCTCTCAGGTGTATCTCCCCAACTAAATAAGTGGGCAGGGATACTCTAGACAGTTGACAGAGCCTCCACACTGCTCCTGGTTTTGGAAAGCTATATGGTAGAAAAGGCCAAAACCTCTCAAATGGCATTCCCAAGACTAGGGAGAGGCTGTAATGCATGTGCAATGTCTGAGGTTAAGGGCCACACTGAAGACTTAAAAAGCAAGCATAGTTCCTTTCAATTTGCCTGTCTGGTTCTAGCAAACAACATGGATTCTGACAGATGATAGCAGACAACCAAAAACAACCAAGTAGTTGCCACAGTCACAGTTCAGTGCTTAGTGTAGAATCTGCCACAGATCAACAAGCCTCTGGCACTTCAGAAGCCGTTGGCCTATTTAATATATTCTCTTCAATCTACATCAAGGAGGAGGTTAAAAAAACATTTTACCATTTCATAACATGACCATCAGAACATTCCCTTTCTCCTGGGTTTGTGGTAACTCCTGCTCCAGTTACCGTAGTATCTAAAGAGACTGATCACCTCCATGATCAACTGTATGGATGGCATGGGACTTGGTGAGGAGGAAACAAAATATTGTAGATGTCCTAGAAAGATGTGTGCTAGAGGGAGGGAGAATTCAGGGCACTGCCCCATCAGGGAAGTTTTTAGAATCGAATAGTTTTGGGCAGGGATCAGCAAACCAGGTAGAACCCAAGGGCCAAATCTGGGCCACGGCCTGCTTTTGTAAATAATGTTTTCTTGGTATATAGCCAACAAATCTTTTTTTACATGATGTAAAATACTTTTATCAGTTCTGGTGGTGAGAAGTTAAAATTAAGGTGTTGGCAAGGCCATTCTCCCTCTGGAGTCTCCAAAACAGAATTCTTCCTTACCTTTTCCTAGCTTCATTGGTTACCAGCTATCTTTGGTGTTCCTTGGCTTGCAGCTGCATCATTCCCATCTCTATCATTGTTGACACATGGCCTTCCCTCTGTGTCCAAATTTTCCACTTATAAGGACACCAGTCATTGAATTAGGGCCCACCCTAACCCAATATTATCTAAAATGATACTTGTAAAGGCCCTATTCCAAATAAGGTCACAGACTTAGATACTGGGAGTTAGGACTTGAACATTTATGGGAGACACAATGTAACCCACAACACATAGGTTCAGGGTTTGTTGTTTTTTTTTTCCTGAAAATCTCCAAATGTCAGCTCATTCTTTGAATATATTAGTTAAAATCTTGTCCTAATCATTCCAACATTTGCATCTTCTTTCTTTGTGTTTATGTTGTCTGTCTGGTACTAGTTTGCCTCTTATGCCTGGATATTTTTGATAGAGCACCAAATATTATGTATATAAATTACGGGTATAGAAGAACTACAAGATCCATGAGCTATTGTCATGTCAGATTAGCAGAAAGAATGCAACCAGATTTTTTAAAAAATTACTCAGAAAATGAGAAGCTCAAAATTGCCAATGGCAATCTGAGAACAAATAGCCAGATCTGTGATACAAAACCCAGAAAATTCTTTAGATGCCAATTTGAATTACGCTACGGTAGGGGTGGGAGACCATAACAAATAAGTCAATGAAATATAAATATTACATGAATTAGGGCAAAGTACAATACAGAAAAAAAAAAAAGCAAACAGATGAGAAAGGTGAGTTTTGGTGGTGCAGTTGTAGAGTGACCCTGGAGGCCTGAAAGGACCTACAAGAAGGGAATTGATGAGTCAGCGATGCTAGGGAACTGGGACAAGTTCCTGAAGGAGGGAAATGCAGTGCCCTAAGGCTAAGGCTGCAGTCTGTGGTGTATTTAGATAGCATCCAGGAGGCAGGGTGGGTATGGAAGAGCACAGCAGTGAAGTTTGAGCATTGATGGCCTGACAAGGGGTCTGGAGTCAGACTGTAGGGTCAATGGGTCATCTTAAGGGAATTTTTCTGTAAGATAAGTAGGGGATTTTTGGTATATTTTGGGCAGTTATCTGACCTTGTCTTAATAATATTCCTCTGATGGTTGAGGCTTGAGTAATAAGGTCTTCTGCATAGTCAAGCATAGGACCTAACCAGTGATCAACTCAGATGGTTCCAGTCACATGCTCTTGTGTTAGCTGTTAGCCCTTGTTTCTTACCCTGGGCTTTATAGTATTTGACACAAAAAGTGAAGGTAAGATGCTGGTACCTTTTGGGAAACATAGTACAGTGTTTTCAGCCATCTGTCAGAGTAAACTATATAACTTTTTAAGTTAGTAGGCCCTTATTTTAAAAGCACTCGCCAGGACCCAGCAATACAAACCAATGAACTATTGATTCTTGTAAGAACCTGGCTGGTCTCCAGAGAATTATAGGGAGGGGGAATATATGAATGAATATGTGTGTGTGTGTGGGTGTGTGTGGGTGTGAGAGAGAGAGAGAGAATTACAGAATATCAAAAATTTACCCTTGATTATCTTTGGATGCTGGGTTAGAAATTGGTTTAACTTCTAAAATGAGATGTCTGTACAAGTTTTCTATAATAAGCATGAAAGATGTTTACAATCAGAAATAAAATAAGATTGTTTAAATCAAAAAGGAAGGGGGGAGGGATGTATAATTCCCAGATACCAGAAAGGCAGTGTAGCCCAGTCCTTCAGAAACATGGCTCAAAAACAAGACATCCTGTGAGAACCTCTGAGAGAATGGGTCTCCTCTTATGCATGGAGGGGATAATGCAAGACTCCATCTCATGTTGCTGGGAAATTTGAGTTAATGTGTGAAAGATTTATAACAGCATCCAGCACATGCTAAGTATTCAATAAGTGCAAATTATCCTTTGCTTTCTCTGGTTCTCTTGGGCTGCCCCTGATCTGGAAAAGATGACAAGAGGAGGGAACTGTGACTAAAGCCATCCCCACCCCTGTCCCCCTACAAGAAATAGAACCAGGGAAGGGATCTTTGTGGCATAATAATTGCACACAGGAAGTATGGGCAGAGGCTTTTTACATACTAAGGCAACCTTTCTCACACCCTCCTCCAGGGAGGGCAAGAGGAAAGCTTGTTTCCCTTGGGAATCAGCAGCTACCCTCAAGAGCTAACACCAGTCTATTCTGCATTGCCCCTCAATCACCAGACCCTGACTTCTCTGACCCAGGATTAACCCAGGCTCCCAGATGCCCTTCATGAGCCCCTTGCCCAGGCCTTGGACAGGTGGAGTCAGCATAAACCGCTAGGCACTTTCCTGTTATTGAACTAAGGCTCACTGATGCTGAGCAATGAGCCCCCACCCCCAACACGGTTGTGGGGCCCTCACCCAGAATAGTTGCTTATAGGACTTGAGGGGACTGTGGAATTTGTTCAGGCAAAATTTGAATGAAGCTGTGTTGGCAGGCTGCAAGCAGAGCAGTACCATGTATTCTGTTGTGTCCTCCCATCCCCCCAAAAGAAATGAGCACATGACGATGAATATGGAATGCTCTCTACCTGCTCTGAGTGCTCTGGGCAGGAATCATGGCTGCATCTTGAATCAAAGTGACTTAGGTTCCCAGGACAGGGTGGGGGTTCCTTGTTACTGAGGGGGTATCAAATAGCATAGCTGGTCACGTGTGGCATTGAGGACCCAGGAAGTTGGGTCCCGAAGAAGTTGTCAGGGAGTAGGCAGAGATCTCTTCCTTGCTGCTACTCCAGCCCCACCAACCAACAGCCACAGACTTTGTTTTCTTAGGCAGAGTTCATTTTTTACTTTCTCACGTGCGATCTACTCACAATAGCATCCTTTGTGTCCAAGAAGAAAAGGGACAGCACCCCCTTCCTGGGGACAGATTTGTGGTGTTAGCCTGCACCCTCCTCTGGGAGTCCGCATCTTGGTGCTGCACTCCTGCACCCGCCTTCCCCTCCTGCTCAGCTCCCAGTTCCTCCAATGAGTCCCACGACCCAGCAGGGGGCAGTGGTTCTCTCTGCAAAGGCCACCTGGGATCCTATTTCACTCATGTTCCAGTCACGCGGACCTTTCCTGCAGTTCTCTAAAAGCATGAAGGCCAGTGTCCCCTCAGGTTGTTTACAAGCGCTTTTCCCTCTCCTAGGAAAGATGTTTGCATGGTTGGCTCTTCTCACCATTTAGTTGAGGAGCCATCTCAGATCTCATGTCTTGGCTTGACCACTTTACCATCTGCTGCTCATACACTCAGCCACTCTTCTTTTGTGGGTATGCTTCTGAATGGGGTCAGAACACAGGGGTCTTAGAAAATCTGTCTGACAGATAAATGGGCCTGGCATAGCCACCACCCCCATAGTCTCCCTCTCACACTGTATCACTCACCTTGGAGAGTGACTGTACTTTCAGCCAGGTATCCCGCATCCTGTCCACATTCTTGGAATTCCTACTAGTGCTCTGGAGTAACCTTAGAAACCTCTTCTTACCTGTCCAACTTCAAGAGCCCTGAGAACCTCATTTTTACACCTCAGGGCCTGGAGATACACTGCAGAGCAGGAGGCAGGGTCCTCAGCCTCCAGACTCCCTTGCACTGGCTTCCTGACTCCAGCCCATAAGTTAGGGGATCCGGCACCACTCAGAAATGGAGTAGAGTTTGGAGCAGCACACCATTGGAGAACTGGCTTGAAGCAACACCAAAAAGGGCTACCCTATCAACCCAGACCCGAACTGTAAGCTACTGCTTGGCAGGGACAGGGCAGACCTCTGCTGCCCCAACCTGTCCCTGCCCCAGAGTCTCAGCTGTGGGCAGGGGCTGGGCTGAGTGCACCTTACACCCTTGGCTACGGAGGTTGGCAAGAGGGTTGAGGCTACAGGATGGACAGGCTGCTGAGGTGGAAGAGGTACCCTTCCCCACCTCTACCCCATGCAAGCAGGGATCTTTCAGGTGACATATTCCAGAAGTGGACTTTGGACATACTGTTAGATAGACAAAGGTCTAAAGGTCTAGGTGGTTCTTACTAAATGCCATTCTTGCTAAACACTAAAATATTTGGCTGAGGCAGCTGTAAACAGGAGGTGCTTGACAGAAAATTGGTTAAGCATAGTCAACTGCAAAGAAATCTCTGTGTGTGTGATCAAATAGTAAATATAAGCAATGGCTAAGCCTCCCTTTAGAGACAAAGCTTTGGATGTGAATCCCTGGTCACCTTTACTTGCTGAAAGTAAATAAAACCACAAGTCATTCTTTTTTTTTTAAATCCTCACCCAAGTGTGTGTGTGTGTGTGAATGTGTGTATTCATTCATTCATTTGTGTATATATATATGAGGATTTAAAATATATATATATATATATATATTTAGAGAGAGAGATAGAGAGGGAGACACAGAGAAAGAGAAACATCAGTTGGTTACCTCCCATATGTGCCCCAACTGGGGATCAAACTTGTAACCCAGGCATGTCCCCTGACCCAGGGATGGAACCCATAACCTTTTGGTGATGGGGTGATGCTCCAACACAACTTAACCACCCAGCCAGGGCTCACCTGTCATTCTTAAATAGAGCACCCCAAGTGTTGACCCTCCCTTGAGTTTAGTAACAACAATGAGGGACCTAGATTTGCAGGGCTGTTTTTTTTTGTTTGTTTGTTTGTTTTTGTTCTAAATGGGGCTCTCTTGAGATGTAGCTCAAAGTGGGGTCTTGGAATATTACTTAGGGTGAGGGGAGGGTTCATGGGTTGGTCTGAGCATTATATAGGGTTTTACTAGGGTGGTTCAATGAAGGAAATGTTGCTTTTCCTGTGCTGTGTGAGCAAGAGAGAGCATTCACTGAGTGTGGTGGTGTCTCAGTGGAGGGAAAGCCACTGAGGATCATTCTAGGTTATAGGATGTCATAGGTTCCTGGCTCATTGGGACTTCTAGGGTTTCTGGGCAAGATGTGGAAATTTTAAGGTCCTTTTGTATAATATTGAAGTGTCTCAAATGGTGCATGGATAAGGCAAGGGGGTGGGAGATCAATTATCAGGAGGTTCTCAAAGCGGGGGACATGCTGGGAGTGGGTTTTAGGACAGATGTGGCCAGTCACAGAAAGCATTAGCAATCTATGCCCCACTCCCAGCACCTTAGTTGCTGAGGGCCTGGGTTTTCCTGAGCAAGATGTCAAGAGTTCCTGTCCAGCCTGCTCAATCCACAAAAGGTGACAAGACCATGGGAGAAGCGAGACCAGTTTAATTTAGAAATAAGCTTTGGGCAGCTTCCTGATCAGAAGGGAGACTAAGGGTCAACCCATAGAAAGAAAGGCCTCCAAGTAGGGAGGGAACAGCATGGGAGCTGACACTGGGAGTGCCACAAAGCTGGTCCTGAGCTCAGCAGGTACTGGCAGAGCCTGTGAAAAGAATGGGAGTCATGTCCTCATAAAGATGGTCACTACACAGACACCCACCTCAGCCTTGTGCAAACCCAAGCCTAGGCTGGCTGAGGACAGTCCCACGTTACACACAGCATATCATTTTTGAACTCTCAAATTATATGGCCAGCCTGAGTGCCTGGAGGCCTCTCAAAGCTTTTCTCACCTGAAGTGATGAATGGAACAGCTTACTCAGGTAAGGGGCTAAGAAAGGAACACATTGGATTAGCATCTTTGGACTTTAAGACCTTCACTAAGACTCCTGGTGCCTCCTTCCCAGAAGATCGCTAGCTGCCCTCTTGCTATTCTTCCAGTCATTTTAAACAACACCAGGGTCTAGAGTTTTTCCTAATTTGGGGCCCCTTCAGGGTTGATTATCTGTGAATAATCCCATTGCAAGCCCAAGGAGCAGCCAAGAAACTGTCCTTTTTCTTCAAGTTGTAGGACTTTACTCCAAAATAGTAGGCTCAGTTTGAAATGCACACAAAGGGGCCTTATCTCACCTTTGCTTCTGATTGTTCTTGCATTTACATTTGCCACCTGTGAGAGGAAGAGACATCAATGCATAGAGACTGGGGACCCTGGGCCACCCATCTTCTCATACGTCCTCCCTCCCCATCCCACCAGCTCCACAGCTCACTTAGGATGAACAAGAGTCCAACGATGCACAAGAGCCCTGCGCAGATTGTCCCACCCAGCTGCAGGCCTTCCCAGTCTAGGAGAGTAGAGAATGAACATGTTTCAGTTTGGCTCACCCCAACACTCATTCAAAAGATATTTATGAGCACCTGCTTGTGCAGTTGTGCTCACATTCCAGGCAAAAAGAGGAAAACAGACCAATAGATACACAGTACAATATCTGGTAGGAGCAAGTACTAGGAAGAAGAAAATAAGCAGAAGAGCACAGAAAAAGAAGGAGTTTTAAAGGATGATGAAGGACGGCTTTTCTGAAAGCTGACATTTGACTGAGTAGGAGGCAAGCTCAAGGACAGTGCAGGCCTGCTTGGGGGGCTACAGCAGACAGGAAGGAACTGGGTGTTGGGGAAAGCATACAAGAGTGAGGGGCAGAAGAATGCTTGTGTGAGGTACCTGGGAACCCAGCAGCCCATTGCCTCCACTCCTTGTCCCAGAAGTCTTCCTAAATATGATGGGTACCTTCCTTTCTTGCTGGAAGGCAGTTCTTTCAAAGACTAGGTTGCATGTTGGCCTTTTGTATTTTTTGTGTTGGCCATACTGGCTTTTTAATTTCCAGTTCCAGCCCCATCCTGCTCCTCCTTCCTCATCCCTTTAAGTCTCACTATGCCTACACTGGGCTCTACATTACCCCTCACCAACTTTTAACAAAAAGGTCCAGGACAAGCAAGGGAAGGGGGAATGAGGGATATAGGGTCTTACCGTAATAGAAGGGGCTGTATTTATCTGCAGGAAATAAAAAGAAATAAATAAGGACCAGAACTAGGAGGCAGGATATAGGGTCTTAGAGGGAAAAATGTGGACATCAGAAGCAGTTTGTATGGGGCCTCACTCACCAACCAGATCATTGGCTTCAAAGGCAGGCATGCCTGGATGGAGGAAGCAGAGGGATTGGGTGATAATTCATGACTTTAGTGTCAACATGAATCAGCAGATAGACCTCAGCCCAAAGGGCAAAGACAACCAATTTCATTGGACGGCACCGTGGGGCCAGTTCCCTTCTCATACCTTCCCCAGCCCCAAACAATGCTGCTGAGATTCTGTCTCCCATCACTTAGCCTTTGGCCCCTCACAGCCCTTGCTGCCATTTCACAGGCTTCCTGCTGTTTTTAAAGATTTTATTTACTTTTAGAAAGAGGGGAAGGCAGGGAGAAAGAGGGAGAGAAACATTGATATGCGAGAGAAACATTTATCAGTTGCCTCTCCTATTCCCCTAACCAGGGACCTGGCCTGCAACCCAGGCATGTGCCCTGATGGAGAATCCAACCCACAACCTTTTGGTTTGTGGGACAATGCCCAATCCACTGACCCACACCAGTCAGGACTCTGCTATTCTTTCTTACACTCAAAATGGTATAGTGTGTTTGTATCTCTTTACCTTCTTCTGACAAGCTTCCTACACAGAAGCTGACTTACCCTCTGTGTCCTGAAATGGGAAATGCCTTTCTTTTCATGCCAAGTGACAGTTATAGTTCTTACCTGTACTATCATTTCTCTTTAAATCAATACTGTAAATGAAAACACATTTATTTGACATCAGGCTCCCTTTGAGAGATGCTGCCCTGATCTTCACTGCCTTAGTGGGCATGTGAGTAGCATCAGGGTCAGCTCTAGGAGGACTCACCTGCCAGTGCAAAGAGAAGGCCCCAGGTCACTCTCTCCATTTCACAGCTGCAGGGCAGGGCTGTAGGGGTGGGGGTCAGACTGGGGTCAGATGGCCCCCACCGATAGGAGAGCAAGGGCACCAATCCCAAGGATGTTGCTTATTAGGCAGTCTTGGGGAAGTCACTAACTTCTCTTTCCTCATTTAGAGATGAAAATAGTAGTGTTTTGTGGAGTTACACGAGTTGATTAATACTAGTTAAGTGCTTAGAACAGTTCCTTAGTATATATAGTAAGTGTATATAAGGCTTTGTTAAAAATCTAAAGTCAGGTGCTTGTCCTAAGGTCAGGTGAACAAGGTTGGTGATCTAACTCAGGCTTTTTTTAAAAAGTTTTTTTTAATTTAGAAAAATTTTTTCAATTACAGTTTACATTCAATATTATTTTGTGTTCGTTTCAGGTGTACTTACTCAGGCTTTGGTACCTGCCTTCCTAACCCCACACAAAGAGCACGGTTGTCAGGCCTTGGACTATTGTTTCCAAAGTCCTGGGCCTGGGACATTATCAGGCTGCATTCCAAGAGAGATTCCTTAAAGGGAGCACCCAAGCCTGAGCTGAGTAGAGAAGCCAGCAGCTTAGCAGGGAAGTGGGAGGACTACTAGAGGCAGACAGAGCCTCCCACCCTAGCCTCGGCATTGAGCCTGCTCCAGGCAGCCCCCAATTCCACTCTCAGGGTACATACTGCTATTGGCAGAAAACTGCTTGGCTGTTGGGGTATTGCTCCCTCCTACTTTCTCCTTAGGGTACAAGCTAGTTTCTGGGGTGGCTGTAGCTGGAGATAAGACCCCTCCCAACTTTCTGCACAATCATATTGTTAGCTGCAGAAAGGCATAGGGATTGGTAGTATTCCATATTGAAGCCATTATTATCTTCTGGGACCAGCTAGAGGGAAGTCTAATCCACTCTCAGCCAATTTTAATAGCTGTGTGAATCATCAGGTTAAACTCTCTGTGCTTCTGTGTCCCGTAAATGAAGATAATTGTAATAGCAACCTCACAAGGTAATGACTGGATTACATAAGTTAATATGTTTAGTCTAAGAACAGTGCCTAGCACAGTAAGTACTAAAATATATTACAATAATAAATATATAAATACCGAGGTCCTAATGCCATCAAAGGGAGGGCCTGTTAATGTGCTGCTTCTGAAGGCAGAGATTTGTCCTTGAGCAGAAACTAGTCTGCCTCTCTACTATTTTCATGACCATGCAATTCCTGGATCATGATGGTTGCAACTCATTTTACATATTCCTTAGCCAAAGGCTAACTTCTGTTTCCTCCCACTCCCCCTCCCCCCACCCTCACCATCCATATGACAGTGGTCACAGAATAGACACCTTCCAATCCTCAAACTCCCAAACATGCACCAAGAATACCCAGGCATGACCACCCCTTCCCTCAGGCTGGTACTCTGGGCCACCCCACCACCCCCTACCCCTCCACCCCCTACCTCTCCACCCCTACCCCTCCACCCACCAGCCCTAAGTCTTAGCAGTCACCTGCTCACCGAGAGCCAGTTCTGAACTCACCTGAGAGCAGGGTGCACAGAGCAGGTCTGAGAAAGCTGCTGGGGCTGTATTCAGCTCAGTAGGTTCCAGCTCTTTAAACCCAGCAGTCTCGCCCAGGGCAACAATACCTCCAGACCAGATGGAACTGGTCAGACGCTGTAAGACTTCCACAGCTCTTTCTCATTTGCTCTTAAGGAGACGGCTAGCCCTGCCACACCCAGTGCAGTGCAGAATACCTAGGGGCCCCAGGGCCAGCTCAGAGATTAAGGTGGTTGTGGGGGAGAGGGATGAGCAGATTCTCTGATACTTCTCTTGTGGGGAAGATGACTTTTAGCTTCTTCTGCTCAACTAGGCCCTAAAAGAGGGGCCCTGAGGTATGCTGTAGGGGACAGGGTATTTCTGGGGTCTTGTGCCAGCAGAGGGTGTTCCAGGACTTCTGTGTGGGGGTACCTGGGAACAGTTGAGTTGACATGATGTCAGGTACTGGCCTTGAAGCTCCATTTGTTCAGTGGTGTCATTGCTTTTCCTTGGACTGGGTGTTCATTGATAGGGAGGGCTGGAACTGATGGGTATCCCTCAGGATTATCTATCTACCTTCTGATTATGCCCTGATACCCACTTAACCCAGGGAGACTTGAGGCAGGAGGTAGTCAGGAAGGAAGCTCCAGAGGCCCCGCAGGGCTGAGGTAGAAAACACCTATACATGACAAAGACCCCCTAAGACGGGTTGTTCCTGTTTTCTGGGACAACTCTGAATCATAGAATGCGCCTGCGCGCTACCCCCTGATTCATTATAATATCATTATAATGAAATAACATTGTGGGACTCCCTTCTCCAGTAGCCAATCAAGAAAGTCATGGGAAACCACGCATGCGCAGTAGCTTTGAAATCCAACTCCTTGTACCTGCGCAGGAAAAGCCCGCCAAAGACTAGCAGGGGGCTTCTGCCTCTATAAGAATAGAATCCCCCAGCCCACGTGCCCCTTTTTTTTTTCCTCTGCTCAGAGCTGGCTCACTCCTGTGTCCTGTGGTGTGTACTATCACTTAATAAACCTCCCCTCTTTCTTTATGCTATAAACTTTGTGTGTTCGGTTCAATTCTTTGTCCTCGATCACTAAGAACCTGGTTACCTGTGCACACCTGTGCACACCTGTGACAGTTTTTGGAGAGCCAGCTTAGGAGAAGACACCGGAGTGGTAAGCCCCCCTTTGCTGCTCTGACACCCGGGATGCCCTTTTCCGTTATCACCTATTCTGTTTCGGTGACTCTGATGTTCCGTGATGGAAGGTCGGCCGCTAATTTGCGGGCACAGGTCGGGCAGTTAAAAGCCACAAGGGCGCCCGCCGCTTGAAGACTCCTGTGATAGGATAACTTGGATGCGGAACGGGGTTAGCCTTAGTCCCCGCCAGGTACAAGAAAATGTCCGCACAACGGTCAGGCACACTGTGGAAAGCACAAAACACTGCCCCCCACCCCCGCGGCCACTCCCCCAGTAGGCATAGTCGGACCTTCCAAGCGGGATATCAGTCACCACCTCACCTGCGCTATGACTTCCTTTTGCAGTCTCCTCATCAGGCCCACAGATAGTTTTTTTATGCTTTTCCTCCCCAACTGACTTCTGGTCTTTATACCTTCACTTACACCCCACTTGCCTTTTATGTATGAAGGGTTCCTGCTGTCTTTGTACTAAGATACCTACCTTGGGGTCATTGTTAGGCTAGCGCTAAGCACAGTTGCAGGAATGAGCCACTCCCATCTTTGCCACGTGTATACTATCATTGTAAGCAGCAACATCGCTCAGAACTGCACAACGGGTGCCTGCTGGTCGCTGGTTACTAGAATGGCTGCGTAGAGCCACTCTTACCTAATCAATTGAATTTGGAATTCTAAGGTGGTTTACTTGTTCCTATAAGGGTATTTTAATTTCCCCTCTCAGTTCATTGTCCTTCTACGAGATCCGCCTCCAATATGAAGGGTGGTGTTTTAGACATCTCTTGAGGTCCCTTCTGGGAGATTTCAGACGCAGGTACAATTTCTTAAAGCTCTGGAAAGTTACATAGAATATTTAAGGGTCTTCTTTGTGATCTGGAAAAGATTCATTTTATAATAAGATCATCTTGGTGCTTCTCTTAATGGTTTACAGGGCCAGAAATTATTTTTCTAGTAAGACACTTCCTTTGCCCCAGATCTTAAAGCTTACAGGAAAATGAGGGTCCCCGTAGATGAAGAATACAGAAATGGAAATGTACTAGGGCCACATAGTGTCTGGGATTTTCAGGATTATAGGCAATTGCTCAAGAATGAAGGACTGGTTCCTTCCCAATAGTTAGAGACAAAAGTAGACTGTGGTGATTCTCTCAAGTCTTTTAAATTTCTGTCGGCCGACACTCACTAGGATTTCTTTCGCCAGAGACGTCTGGTAGTTCGGGTGGGGGCCACAGGGGACGCCCTGTGGCCCACTAGGAAGCTCCTGAGGCAAGAAAAGGGGGGACGCCTCTCGATTGCAAGGGAGTATTTTTCTCACTAGAATCTCTTTCGCCAAAGACGTCTGGTAGTTCGGTGGGATCCCAGGGGACGCCCATGGCCCACTAGGAATCTCCTAAGGGCAGCAAAGAGAGGGACGCCTCTAGTCTGCAAAGGAGTATCTTTGTGTTTCTTCTCTCTTAGGATCACCGCAGTCGAGATGGGAACTACATCTTCCATCCCTTCCAAATCACCATTGGGTTGCATTCTTAGCAACTGGGATAAATTTGACCCCAAAAAATTTAAAAAAAGAAGAGATTAGTTTTCTTTTGTAACACTGTTTGGCCCCAGTATAAATTAGGGGGTGGAGAGATATGGCCTGAGAATGGGAGCACAAATTATAATACTATCCTACAGCTAGATCTATTTTGCCGGAGGGAAGGCAAATGGTCTAAAGTTCCTTACGTGCAGGCGTTTATGGCTCTGTACCGAGATCCCTCGTTTTGCTCCAGCCCCACCCTGACAAAACCTACAGGCCCAAGTGTTGATCAATTAGAAGATACCCTCCTTAGCTCCCCACCTGTCTCTCAAGGGAGATTAAGGGAACCCCAGAGTTCTGAAGTCTCTGCCCCTACCTTAGAGGGAGCGACCTCTCCACCACCTTATGCTATGGATAACCTAAAGCCACCAGCTGAGGAAAAACCCAGCCCTGCAGGACATACTAGAAGTGGCGCTTCTTATCTCCCTACCACCTCTGCACTCCTACCCTTGAGGGAGGTAGCAGGCCCTGAAGGTGCTATAAGGGTACAAGTGCCATTCTCTATAACTGATTTACAACAATGTAAAGACAGGCTAGGGAGTTTTTTCAGAGGACCCTTCACGTTTCACTAGTAATTTCCAGACTCTTACTCTAGCATTTAGTATGTCGTGGAGGGATTTGTACATAATTCTGACCACCTGCTGTTCCCCAGACGAGAAACAGCGGATCTGGGAGGAGGCTCGTAAGTATGCAGATCAGCTGCATACCCAGAACCCTGGCACTAACCAGCCAGCTGCCCAAGCTGTCCCGGACCAGGAACCTAACTGGGAATACAATACTCAGGCAGGGATCCGGAGTAGGGATGCAATGATAGATTGCTTACTGGCAGGAATGAGAAACTGCATCAAGAAACCTGTGAATTATGAAAAGGTTAGGGAAATCTTTCAGGGCAAGGAAGAAAACCCAGCTCTCTTCAGAAACAGACTAGTAGAAGCCTTCCAAAAAATATACAAACTTGGACCCTTCATCCCCGGAGGGTCGAATCTTGATAGGGCAGCATTTTATAATTCAATCTGCCCCTGATATTCGTAGGAAGCTTCAGAAATTACAAATGGGCCCGCAGACCCCCCTTAGATCAGCTCATGGATACAGCCTTTTCAGTCTTTAACAATAGGGATTTGGAGGAAAGAAAACAGGGAAAGAAGGAAAGGGAGAGGCAAGCAGAGCTCCTTGCACTAGCCTTTAGTAGTGCCATTGGCGGAAACCAGCCCCATCAGGGGAGCTGGGGAGGCGGCAAAAGGATCAGACCTGTTATAAGTGCAAGCGCCCTGGACACTGGTCAAAGAACTGCACTCAGCCACCTCCGAGGCCCTGTCCTCTATGCAAGAACTTCAGTTCTGATCCCTGGCACTGGAAGGTAGACTGCCCCCGTTCCCATAGTGGAAAGGGGTCATCTCCCAAGGCCATGGCTACTCTTGAGGACTGAAGGTGCCCGGGGAACAGGTCGGCCCCAGGGAATACTCCATATTCCCATCTCTACTGAGGAGCCCTGGGTAACTCTAGATGTGGCAGGTAAGAAAATCGACTTTCTTGTTGATACAGGGGCCACTTACTCTGTCCTTAACTCTTACTCTGGACCTCTTTCCTCCAAATCAGTTAAGGTAATGGGGGTCGAAGGAAATCCTAAGGCATATTTTTTATACATTCCCTATCACTTGCCAATTTGAGAGCCGAATATTCAAACACTCCTTTTTAATTGTTCCTCAGTGCCCTATTCCTCTGTTAGGCCGGGACCTTTTAGCTCAGATGGGAACCATCTTGTTGTTCCCTGAAGTGCCATTTGAGTTAAGTAAGGTGATGATAATCAGTAGTGTTCGAAATCAGGAAGAAATCCCAAGTTCAGTTCTGGATGCAGTAAACCCACTAGTTTGGGAGTCAGGGATTCCTGGAAGAGCAAAGACTGCATTACCGGTTAAAATCCAGTTAAAATGAAAATGTCTTTGTTGTTTCTATTAACCATTCTCTACTCGCCTGCACCCTGTATAACGGAATGGGATGAAAATTTTCTAGTGAATGCTTCTCGAACCTTAGCAGCAGGAGAAAACCTGGCCCAATGTTGGATATGTCATCCTAACCCGGAAACTCCTTCCAGATATAATACTCATATAAAAGCCTACCCAATAGCTAATGAATCCTTAATCAGTGCTTTGAATTCCTCTGCCAATTACATGCGTTCCCCTTTTTCTTTAAGAGTCACATGGGAGAGAAATCCTCCTTTGTGTTTCCGTATGACCCCCACTAGAATTAAAGCCATTTAACTACTCCAGCACCTCTCTTAAGTGCAACAGTACGATGGGATGTACCCCATGTTATAATAATACTCATACAAGGGCCATTGACCCATTTAAAGCCCTGGCTTCTCTTTCAAGTTCCAGCTTT